TATTTATAGATGATGTTGAGCATTTGACTGTTGAGCATTTTCTTCCCGTTTGTCTTGAAGAATATGACCGTTGAAATTAGCCGTTGGAAGCTTTTGATAAAAGTTGATTCTTCACATCATAAATTCATTGTGGCTCTTTACTTGAAATAATCTTCCTCAAATCAAGTGATAAGTATCTGATAATCTGAGAAACAATAAGTTGGAAAACATGGAATCAATCATCAGATATTTAGATGTTCAGAAAGTAAGATGAACTTACTTGATTGATGCCTTGATCGATCATATTATCAATTAACTACAAGAGAAATAGACTTAACAGATGCATGCATTTATCAAGTAATTTATGTATCAACAGATGATTGAATATGTGATCAATAGCTAATGAAACATGAATGTAGTGAGCTTTAAATGAATTATGCAAGGATAATCTTTTTCAAGTTACGTTTGCCTTTGTATCCTTTTAATAGAGAGTTATGTGTAAAAGGAAGGCTGAGAAAAGCTTAAAAATAAAAAGATGAAAGATTTTGAAGAACATCGTGAATAGCTGTTATGAAATGAACTGATTCAATGATTGAATAAATGATCAAAAAATGTTTGATCGATTATATTATCAATAAAGCTAAGTATAAGAGAAATATGTTTTCAAAGTGTATTGATCGAATACTTTATTAATAAATGGTTGATAGGAAAATTGATTGATAAAAAGGTTTAATAAAGGTTTTCATAGTGTAGTCACAAAATATACGATGATCGAGTAAATGATCGATTAAAGATTAATTGATTAAATGATCGATAAATTATCATTGAAAACTTATTTCAGAAATGCTAGGAAAAACCTTATTTGATCACGTTATGTGAAAATGGAAGTTTCAGAAATTTGGATGATCGATCATTTAATCAATAAACCAATAATCAATCAGGTGATTAAAAAAATGGTTCAAAGTAAGTTAATCTAGTGAAGATAATGATCGATCCTTTGATCAATAGATGTCTGATTGATCAATTGATCGATTAACGATCTTGACAGAGTACTCAAACAGAACACATTATTAATAAAACTAGTAAGTTATCATGTAATGATAGAGTAGGTTATCGATTAATGTCTGATCGATAAATGGTGAATTAACCAGAATATAAAGTGAGTACGAAGACTTTATCATTTATCTGTGTTCTTATCGATTACTCATTGATCGATGAGGTGATTGATAAATCTTTTGTTATGATTGAGGAAGTTCAACCTTTTTCCTGACAGCTTATCGATCAACTAATAATCGATTAAATGATTGAGTATTTCTTGCAACATCTTATATTAAGCAGTTATACTAATGATTGATTAGTTGATCGATCAATCTAACAAGTTATTGAGCAGAGTAAATTATCTATCACATGATCGATAAAACTTAACAGTATATAATTTCAGAATATGCAATCAATGATCCAAGGTATGATCAGATAAAAGCTTAATAGTTTTTCAGAGAAACTTACAATTTGTTTATCAATCAAGTGATCGATAAATACATTTATCCATAATATTATTTGAAAGCCATTTATCCATAATGTTATCCAAAAACCATTTATCCAACATGTTATTAATAGAACTTTAATAATGCATATGAAGATAAAAGAGAAGAATTGAAGGGATAGTATTAGTAACTCGATAAAGTGATCGAGTATGTAGTTGCTTGATCAGGCTCGAGTAACATCTGATAATGGCTTTTCATTTTCTCATTTCTTCTAGTGCTTTTACTCAATAACATGTTTGAGTAGCATGTTGTCCAAGAGCTTAATCGATCAATGTAGAACTTTTGGTCTTTGCCTCAATAAATTTGAATTCTGATTTAAGCAAAACAAAGGTCAACTTTGAGTGATCATGAATCTTCCAATTCAACTCTAAATTTTGCAAATGACCTATCCCCAGAAAGCTCTTTGAGTATACTTTCTAATGCAACAAGAATCACCCCAAAATTCATGTCGTCACGAAGTTATCTTCATCATAGTGACTAAAGGTCAGAATAAAGACGTTAAACCTAATTGCCATGTTTCAAAAAATATATCTCCCTCATATGAAATTCTTTGAAGTTGATTTTAGTGTCCATGAACCATGTTCTGATTCTAGTTTCATATGAATCAAGTTTCACCTCAAACGGATTTGTGGTTTAAGAGATATTAGAGAAATACCGAACCTATGTCAGAGCTGAACGAAGAACAGAGCATAAAAGAGTGTGTGTTTGATTGATAAGTCTCTAATCGAGTTCTTGATCGATAAATGCCCTTGAAAATCACCTCTGAAACTTATTTTCAATGTTTATATGAAGGGTGACTCAATATATGATGATATAACTTCCGGTTTGTGCATTTTAGCTTCCGATTGAGCCATTCAAACTTCTAATTGAGCATAGCAACCTTCAACAACAAATCTATGAATTTGAATCTTGATATTTCCATTTGATCTTGCAAGTTCTTCTTTTATCAATCTCTCTTCTTCTTTTTCCTCTTGATCGTTCTCCATAACTTAAAGTTCAACATAATAGTTCATTTCTTTTCTTGAGGAAACTACACAAGATATTAAGTGCAGTAGTTAATTAAAATATAAGATAAATAATTTATGCAAACTTTTTGTTATATTATTTGACATCATCAAAACTAATCATATCTAACATTCAAAACATGGAGCCTATGAATATGATATTTTAAAGCATGAAAGTATGAGATATCAAACATGTCATCTACTTGCATTTTATCTTGCATGCATGAACGATAATGTTTGTTACTGATATTCTCCCGAATCTCACTCTCCTTTAATAAACCCTAATAGGTGATAGAGATTGAAGGGTAGAGGCTTTTGGTGTCCCTTCCAATCAAGAATTAGGGCCTCACAATCAATAGAAAATATGCTTTCATCTCATACCTTTCTTCATTCATGCTTCGATATTATGATGTCTTGGGCGTAGAGGAACCACAACAATCCATCCCGAACTTGGTGGTTAAACTCTACTACAGTGATGATATTGTAGGGGAGTTCCTGCGGAAAAATAGCTTGACGCAGGGTGATAAAAAGCTTAACACCCTCATTCTTATTACTTTTTTAATCAAGAAAAAAGATGCATGAAGTGGAGGCAAGGAAAATAGATAAGAATTGAAGAAATGTTTTGCATTTCATTGTGTAATTTGTATGCCAATATATGATGTAAATGTGCCACTAATATTATATGTTGATTAATGATGATGATGGCATGTAAATTGAATATAGTGATGTATGAGAATAGTTAGTGCAATGATGGAATGAGAAAATGCTTTGAAAAAAATTAATTATTAATTATTAATTCAAGTGAGGGGGATAAGTCACCCCTAATTAAGCCATGAAATGGTGAAAAAGTTGAACTGAGGTAAATGAATGAATCTACTCATAAAATTTAGTGACCATCTAGAACACATCCTAAGCTTTAAAGCAAGTGGTAGATCACCTTAAATGGATGTGTTTGCTAACAGTTATGATGGCTCAAAGTTAGGGAAGATAATATTGAAAACACTGTTTTAACCAAATGAACAATAAATTTTTACTAATTAACAGTACGAATTAGCAATGGTTAAGTGTCACACCTACCTTTAATAACATATGACACCACAAGTAGAGCCATTTGGAACCATTATTCAAGATTTCAGGGTAAGAAAATTCAATATTTTAAACACTTGGACTTAGGTTACTATGCACATACCCTTAAAAATTTGCAAACTTAAAAATTCATAACTAATTATAAAAAAATCAAAACGGGATGGTTCCAAGTTCTATTGAAGCTTGTATATGATCTTTAAAGAAAAAAATACTCATTGGTGTCATGTCCATATGGAACAGAGTCAAGAAACATGCAAAGTTGCATTGTTCATTTGGTCATTTTTCAATTTTTCAGAATATTTGCCCAACATTGGAAGGGTATAACTCTTAGTAAAGAACTCCAAATTTAATGATCTACTACTTAATTTAAAGCTTAAAATAAGATCTATAAGCCTGTAAAATTTTAGGTCCAAACTCTGTTAGATTTAAGGTTTTGATGATAATAATTTAAGTGTTTTCTATTTCTCTAAGGATTTATTAAGTTGATAGATCAACTGATCAATCAAAAGTTAATCGATCAAAGGTTAATTGATCAATTGTCAGATAGTTGGCATTATTCTTCGTTATGCATGACAAGGATGGAAGATCATGAGGGGTGAGGTGCTGCCAAAAGGAGTGTTGATATGTGTTATGAGAATCCGGGTATTATGAGAAAAACCATATGCAATGGAACGCAAAAATCATACGTTTTGAACTTGTTGCTTAAAAAACATTAAGAAACAGATGAACAAGAAGCTTTGTTGTTGTGTTTCCTTCTCTAACATTTATGTTGTCTTCGGACCTTTCCTCCTCTTGCTCCTCTTCCACTAACTGTTGCTTCTTTGTTTGCAAAAATTCATTCAAATGTTTTGCAGAGCAAGATAAGAAGATTGAATGCCTTCAAATATAATAGATAAACCAAGAAACAGAACCCATCAGGATGTCTCTTCTTGACTTGAAAGATTATGATAAAATAAATCATCAATAAATCCGTTTATTCAAAAATATCAATCAACAACGGGTTTCTACTTGAGAAATTTAATGGCTTTCAAGGTGAGAAAGGCAGAGGGGGGTTTAGAAACAAGAGAACAATTTAGTGTGAAGATACCGAAGGGGTGAATCTTTGAGGTGGCAACATATAACACGTGTTTGTTGGGTATATTCTATAAGCCACATGTCTTGCAATTGACACCGTTCGCAATGTTATGGAATTTTTTTGGGTGTGAGGGAGTGACGGCTTTAACGGAGGTAATTTGGAGGAGCCAATAAAAAAGAGAGAAACTCTAGGGACTTGATTCAACATCAAGTTAAAATATAGGGAGCGCCATATTAGTTTTCCCATTTAACAATAACACGGCTACGCAAAAAAAAGGTCATAATACTCGTCCGGTCCTAGCCCTTGTACTAATGTGTATAAGCGGAGTAGTAATAATAACACGGCTACTCGCAAACTGCTTCCGGTACTTTGAACCCGGCTGTCATTGGGGAGGTGAAAGAAAGGCAAGTGACTTTGAAGGATGAATTCGAGTCCGAATTACAGTAACACTAACGGCTATCATAGGCGGCGGCGGCAGCAGCAGCAGCAGCCGGGAATGAGTCGCAGAGAGCGAGTCCGCCGTGGAAGTCGGAGGTCACGAGATTCCACAGACGGCGGAAGTAGCCTTAGGGTTTGCGAACAGCAGCAGCAGCGACAACACAGACCTCCTTGTACGGACTTCGACATGGCCTATTTCCATTCTTATGCTCATGTTGGTATCCATGAGGAGATGATCAAGGTCGAAATCTCTTTCTTAATCTTTATTATTTAGTTTAAACTTTACAGTTGAAGGACTTCGTTTCTTCATGACTGTTTGTTTTTATCAAGTGAGAGACAGTTTTCTGTAAATGGGGCCTTTTAGTTGGTTACCATGCTCGTTGCAAGTCTACGAACGTGACAGCATGATTTAGGAATTTGGTATTCAATGGCATTGCTGAAGTGAGTGGTACGCCATAAGCAGAATTGGCTGTATGCTAGTGCTTGCAGACAACATAAATTGCTATCTCTTTGAGCATTACTCTATGAAATTAGCGGTAGCGTGGTATGAAGATGCCTGTCTTTGTTAGTGTCTTTGAGAAACTATTAGTGCCATTGTCATTTGGAACGGGTCGCTGTTTGGAGAATATCTTCTCGAGAAGCTTCTTGTCTTTCTTAGTGTCTTCTTGTCCTATTTAAAGGTCTGGCTGTTATTTGGAACAATATGTTGTGTTTTGAGAGCTGTGTCATTTTCTTTAGATGATCAATGGGCGTATAGTTTCTTCGAGCTTCTTTATGGTGTTTTACCCAAGGATTTTTTGAGGGGGACAACCTCTCGGATATGCAGACGAACCATGTTAACGCTGTTGCATGTTTACCTTTCAGTTTTTAATATACATATACACACACATATATATATATTCTGAAACATGTAATTTTGTTTTCTTGGGAGGATATATAATCATTGTGTTTTACATCATTTTTCTCTGGACAAAATTCAATCTTTTATCCAGAAAAAAAACAAATACATACCAATTTAAAGGTTTATATTATTATCTTAGAAATTTGCACTGTTCCCTTGGATTGAGCCACTTCAATAGCTTACGATTCAAGTTTTTAGCAATGTGGTCAAAACTAGATTGAACTCTGGTCTTGTTTGGACTTATAAGGGAAACAGCCGAAAGCCAAACCAATAGAAAACTAGTAGAACCAGTCTTGAACTGATGAAAACTGGTAAAACCAATGGGTTAATCCAAGAAAATGAGAGAAGAACATCACAGAGGAACACAGCAGAACACAGCAGAACATCACAGATGACCGCCAAGAAATGAGAGCACAGAGGAAAAACTAATGAAGAAACGAGAGAATGGAATATGAAGTAAATCGACTAATAAGAAGAAAATAGTAAGAAAATGACCGCCAAGAGGAAGATTAACTCATGGGAGTTTAAGTTGTGTTGAGGTCCCAATTTGGTATTAACCTTCATATAAGGTCGTGAATTGTCATTCTCCCTTTACTCAAATGTGTCAAGAGAGCATGCAAGATGACCTGACTTGCAACATGGAGACATGACTTCTCTGTGAAGAGGAGTAGCTGCGGGAGACACAGTGCAAAGAATAGTGTGAGACTTTGACTTAACGAGGAAGGGGACTGGGCGAAATGTCTTTTTACTTTTTAATCTCACTTCTCGTCTTCCTTCCCTAACCCTTCGACAATGTCAATCATTCTGACCTTCCAACCCCAACCAACACATTCACCAAGACAACTTTTTACAATTTTAGGTTTAAGAATTCTTGTGGCTAGGTGAGCCTAGTGATTCTAGTAGTACTTGGCAGGTTTGATTTTTATTTTTCAAATTAGGAAAGATCTCCTTCTTTCTCTCTCACATATTTTTTAGTTTTTATATTACTTAAAATTAAAATTCACCTTTTTGATGTTTTTGTTTTCGTTGTTATTTTTATTTAAAGTAATCAATATGAAACTAAAAGTATTTTATTTTTTGGCCAAAAAGTATATTAATTTAATCAAGAAGAAATACATTGATGAATTTTATCTAATCTAATTCTATCATTATGATTAAATATTGCCTAAGTTACTTTTATTTTTCATATATTTTATTTAAAATATGATAATTTAACTAAGATTGGGCTGACCTTGGTCCAACTATTAAACCTTGAATTAGTGCCATACTTCTTTGGTTTTGAAGACATTGGTCTATAGACAAACAGGCAATGAATTAATTGTTTATGGTCATGGAAGGTACGTAATAGTAAATTTCATAGTTTCATAGTATTGGGTGTGGAAAATCCGTTTACACTCAATTGTCTTCCTTCCTCCAGAAAGATGAGTAATATCCTAAGTTCCATTACTCAACAGAGCATCCATCCCCTATCTCCGTCTGTTATGATGCAAAGCTTTAATGATATTTCTATGAACTTTCTTACATGAAATTTGGGTCATAGATGCTTGACAATTAGAAACATTATCACATGATATATAACTTCTAATAGGGTGATTAATAAAGGACCTAACACCCATTTTCAAAGCAATATGAAATTCCAGGAATCTTTATCAGCAAGAATATCCTTACTTGGGCTTGAGCGGAGGAATTAGCTTGCTTGAGAGGTTTATAGGCCCCGATTTCCTGATTCCTCCTACTTTTGGAATACAACAATATAATCGTTGGGCTGAAGAGTGCCACTGCTTTCATTTCTGCCTTGTGATGTTGAGCATCCACCTCACTGTTGGTGATAGAATCGGCTTTATTTAATGGACCTATAAAAGTAAAATTAGCAAGATACATGAAAGAGTAAAATCACTCTCTGCTATCCTGGACGTTGGCCTCAAGCTCTATTGTCTTTTAGAGAAAGTTATTGAGCATATTAGTTACTCTAGGGTGGCTATAGGCCTGACCTAGGAAACTGTTGTATTGGGGGTTGTGAGGATCACTTTTTGGACTATTAATATTTGTTGGGTTCTCAGGGGAAGGGGGGACTTATTTTGTGAACTGAGTTTGGTGAGGAGAGTGCTGGCCTCTTGAATGCCAGGTTAGGGGTGGAGGAAGAGAGTCTTTCTTCATCATTTTCTCTGTATTTCAGTGTGTTGGTGAGTTGAGTTTTCTTTGTTGTTCCCGTGTGAGCTGTGCTAGTTATATATTGTATTGAACCCAGTATTTTGTGTGATTAATATCAGTTTCAGCATTGTTTGTCTACTGTTTTTTCTTGGTCTCTATCAGTTGGTCTTGGGTTTATGTTGGCTGTTGTTGATCTTGGGTTCTTGGTACAGGTTATTAGTTTAAGGTCCAGTAGTAGGTTTGGTAAAGGCTATAGGTCTAGGTCCAGTGTTGAAAGTATTAGGAGCATTGTGAATCTCAGGTAAGGGCCCTTTCTTTGACTGGAAAAATCCCATTCTTGCATCATAGGTAGGCAGAAGCGATGAAATTTATACTCTTCTTTTGTTTGTTGAGGAGTTCCCATTTAATATATACTTGATAGCTTTTGGGGTTTTTATGGTGTAAAAGTTGAACTGCATTTTCAAGATCTCTTGGTTAATTCAAAGTGTGATGCGATGCTCAGTAATGTAATTTTAAGATCTACAGTTATTTTATTTTTAGTTTTTAGTTTCTAAATTTTGTCCTTCTGTTTTGTACAGGATCGGGTGCGGACTGAAACTTATAGATCAGCAATCACTCAATTCCAGAGTTATATTGCAGGAAAAGTAATTTAGCAAACACAAGTTGTTAGTTGAGTTGGGCATAGAATTGTGTTTTATTTTATAACACGGTATTAAAACAGAAATTGCTGGTGCATTGTGATATATGTGATTATGGTTTTGTTTGGAGTTGTGTGCTTTGTGAATTCTGACTGTATGTTTAAAGATGGACCAAGGCCTAAAAGAAACACCAGCTGATTTGTTAGATTAATGGATCATTGATTTAATGATTTAATCATCATGTGTTGTCACTTTTGGTATTTCACAATTTAAATTAGATTAAGTGGGGATCATATAAGCAGTGATCCTCCTCTTTCATGGGATTTGATTGTAGTTGAGTTGTTTTTCATGTGGTTAACCAAACTCTTTCAAGATCCCTAAATTATATTGCTACATGAGAAAAGTAATGGAGAAGACAGAGATCAGATTCTGAGATTTTTCCTCCAGGTTTCCAGCAGTTTGCTAATTTTAATATGAAATTTCTCAGGTTTACTTTTTCATTTTAATTTTTTTTTTGGTGGTTTCTGTGTTAAAATAATTCACAAACAAGTTGATGGAGAAATATGGAAAGCTGACACACCTATATTTAGAAGTATTGGCATGTTGGACATTGATATCACTATATTCTGTGTCCAGTGCTTCAGAGTGAAGCGAAGAACACTTGCATTTTTGCCTTGAATATATGTGGCAGACACTGGTGCTTGGCTGACCTTAGAAAAGGGAAAGGGGTAAAAGAATAGAATGGGATACTAGAAACCCATCTTGTCGAGGTAAATAGATAGTATATGCATATAAGCCTCTAAAGTAAAAAAGAAAAAAAAGGGGACGATATGTCTGCTTGCCTCACTCTTACTTGACCTGATAACCAAGTTTTAGTCTCCGTAAATGAAGATGCAGAAGGGTGTTCAAAGACTTCCAATCACTTCACGATTTTCTTTAGAAATTAAGCAGGAGCATTAATGAATGAGGGATTTGCTAAAATGCAGGACTTTTAACTATTGGAAGATTCTCTTCTGCTTATAGTTTTTCTTGTTATTTTCCTCTGAGTAGCTCTTCTCCTGCAGGTTGTAGTGGATGTTGGATGTGGCACTGGCATCCTTTCTATATTTTGTGCTCAAGCTGGGGCAAAGCGGGTAAGCTCACTGACATTTGTAAATCTATATTTCTTTATGCTTAGGAATTAGTATTTTTGCGTCAAGTTTGAAGTAGCTTAATTAAGTGATAATCTTTTTGATTTGGTGAGAGATAATTAATAAATATGTAGTCAATTTGTAATCCAGAAAGAAAAACAAACAGGAGAGCAAAATTAGGAAGTTATTTGACAAAGAGTGCAAAATAATTTCCTCAAGACAGTCGAAGAGAATTCTAGGCCTCTAATTTTGTTGTACAGTGACAGCATAGGGGACTTTTCGTGGCAGTCCATTTGTCTTATTATCATCTTATTTTTCATAAATTTAGATTTTCTATTTTGATAAAATAAATTTTATTTGAGAAGCTTCCATGGTGGTCCTTGGTCATCACATCAGCATGTGCTTCATAAATTACAATTTTTTTTCTGTTCTTTTTTTTTTTTTGGGGGGGGGGGGAGGTAAAAGGAGTAATTTGTTAGAGATTTTTGATTGAGTCTTCCATTCAAATGCTCTTATTACGTGCTAGATTACACCATTCTTTTAATCGCCTGAACAGTTATAGCTGTCATTCTTAACAAAGTATATAGTATGGCTTTATGCCTTATAAGATGCATCTGTAGAGTTGTATACCTTTTTACTTTATAAGATTTATTGGTAAAGGCTGCTCAAGTGTCCTTCATTGTCATAAATTTCAGGATGCAGACCTTTTTCCGTATTATCACATCCATGAATAATTTGGCCGAATACTCATTGATAATATGGCATGCAGTTCTCATCTAAATTAACTGCTATTTGTATGATTTTGAAAGTTTCTTGGCATAATCTGGTGGGATATGATTATGTAGTCAACTTTTTATTCATAGTTTTTAGCTCTGTAATCTTAATCACTAATTTATGTTTTCATTTCCTATTATTCTAATGGGATTTGATGGCTGGTCTATTGCCATTTTCCTCCTATTTATGTGGTCACCCATTTCCATGAATAATATGAAGCATAGGGGCATTTTTTATGGTATTAGGGTCCAAGAGGCTTGAAAATCCTGAACAAGGAACAAAAAATCGGATTGGATACTAAATTGGTCGAGGCACTGGTTTAAGGGTCAGTTGGTCAAATCCAAGAGGCCGGTTCATTGGTTTTCTTGTTGAACTGGCTGATTCAGTTCGATTTTTTGTTCCTTGGTTTGAAGTCAACCTTTGTTGCAAAACATTTGTTGAAGCACCTCTATTTGTTCATTAGTGGCTCCTATTGGCCCATTCTCACTCATTCTGAATCTCACCACTACTTGAATCCAAAATGATGTGCGCGGGGGGGGGGGGGGGGAAGTAGGGACAAAGCACTCTTTGGGCAGACCAAGTCTATTTGTTTCAAGTTTCATGGTGATCTCACTATGTAGAGGGCATTATATGGTGTCTTAACAGTTGATATGCAAAAAGATGGTGATTCCTCATTTCTTACTACTATATTTTTTTATTTTCATGGTTGTGGTAGGTAAAGTAGAAATGAAATTGGGAAACATGGGGTTGACACTTGTACAAAAAATAAAGTAATTAGGCTTTAATGGAGTGATGGAGTAGGGCATTTACTCGAAAAGTTTTGTTGTAATCCAACCAGATGCTTCCTCATCAATGTTTGAGTTATGTTGTGTTTGGGTTTCTTTTTAGATGACTGCAATGTACTTTTTATGAATTCCTATAGAGATTTGTTCAGTTTTCACATCCCTTATTCAAATGTGCAATATGAAGATGCTTCTTGGTTACATTCGTACATAAATGGTAGGCTTCCTTTTCATCGTTTTCTTTTATGTATTTTGCTCAATTATTTTGTCATATCTCACTTGCACGGAGGAACTTCAGTGTTTTCACTCCCAGTCTATATGATTAAAGCTTGTTATTAATGTATTTCTCAGGCAATGTTTTTTGAGTCCCCAAAATTAAAGCCTAAAATCACGTGTCAAACTTTGAATTTGACATTATTGAAATTTTTACAAACATGACATCAGCTGTATGATTGCCTTGGCAGGTGTATGCAATTGATGCTAGTGACATTGCCTTGCAGGTAATTGTAAAATATCATAGCTTTAATTATTATAAGCTGTTCCCCCCTTTATTAGTGTTTATGTTTGAGTTTTTAATTGTGGGCTTGTAATTGATTAAGATTCTATTTTCTTTTCTTTTTCTGTTTTTTTTTTGGCTTGATAGTGTTCAGTTTTGCTTCCAGTCTAGCCCTGTACCTGCTCAGATTACCATCAGGATCGTGTTTAATAGCAAACGCCTATTTGCTACTTGAGGTTTTCCTTCTGGAAGTGTGGTTATCTTCCATATCTAGTTCTTCTTAAGAGCCCTTAATTCTTCATTTACAACTTAATTCTTCAGACCTGCCATAGCTTCTCAAAAACTTTTAAGCATTTTTTTCAGTTGAAAGGTTATCCACAATGGTTCGAATAGGAGGAGACAAATTTCCATGTGAAACATATCTCTGAATAGGTTTAGTACACATCCTTACTCCCTTTCTCAAAGCTACAGGCGAGCCGAGATCATCATAGCCAGGATTTTTATCAGCGTTGACTTCTTGCCTGTGTTCAGGAATGGTGGTGATCTCTACCTCCTCAATCTGCTGGTTTTTTTGCTTTTGCAGTCTGGAACTGTTGTGAACATTTTCCAGACTTATCAATAGTGTTAGAACTTGTTCCCTCTTCCTCTTGGGCCTCTAAACTAAAGGTAAAATCACGCTGAGAATTATGTTTGGATCTGGTTGGGCCAGGCTAGACCATTCTGGGCTAGATTCGAATCAATTCAGATTCTGTCAGTTCCAGGTCTGCAGTTATGGTCTGTGAGGTGCGATTCTGGTGTTTTCAGGTTTATTAGGTTGAACAACAAATAGGATACCATTGCTTGAGTCCAAAATTAGCCATCCATCTCCCTTTTTCTTCCCCTGAATGGGCAATTTTTGGCAGAAGTGTTTTTCTTCTTGGAAAGTAACATTCATGGACACATTTTTCAGGAATCTGGACAGTAGCATTTATAGCCCTTTTGAGTAGGTGAATAGCCTAATAAAATGCATCTCAGGGCTTTAGGTTGTAACTTGGCACTTCCCACATGGCCCCCAAAAACTTTTTGCAGTATGTTTAAAATGATAAGTGAATATGGATAGTGAAATATTTTCTGGGTAATCATGAGTATTATTGATATGAAATCGATTACATATAAAGAGGAATAGATAGAATCAAACCTGATCTAATCCCTGGAATTCTTTCTATAATTTTAGGAACAATAAACTAGAATAATAGGCAATAAGTACGTATCCGATTTAGGAGGTAATAACAACATGCACAAGAGGAAAACCAGGGCAGCTTATGGGAAGGCCCATAAGGTAGCTGCATGCCCGTTACCAGCAGATAGGATTCAAGAAACTTTTGTAAGGGAGTAGCAATATTCAGTACCTTTGAGGGCATCCTATTGAGCTGATGTAATAATGGCATTACCCTAGAAGAAACTTGGATCATTGCTGGTAATCATCATGGCCTTAGCAACTTCTACAAGGTTCTGTTTTTTATTCTATTAGCTACCCATCCTATTTAGGTGAATAAGCACAAGCGGTTTGGTGATGGATTGCATGATTTGAGGAAATTTTGAAATGGAGAACTCAAATATTCTTTATCATTGTCACTTTTGAGGACTTTAATGGAAGTTTGGAACTGTGTAATAACAGAGGAATGGAATGATTTAAAGGTCTCAATGACTTCATTTTTATTTGTCGTTACGAGCAGCCATCTGACTCGTGTGATCATCTATAAAAGTGAGAAACCACTTTGTTTTGGGAGTTCTTGAGGGGCCCTAGACATCATTATGGACAATAGCAAAAGGTTGTCTAGTTTTGTATGTTTTTGGGGAATAGGAGTTTTCAACACGCGTTGCTAACTTACAAGCATCATAGAGGGGGACAAATCCCATCTTAATCACTCATCTTTCTCTGCATAAATCCTGCTCTGCTCAATCACAACCTTAAAGATAATTTTTGATTATGTCAAAGCACAATGTTCCTCATTTAAAAATCTAGGGTGATCCGAGGTTTGAGGGCTCTGACACATCTATAATGAGGTACAGTTGTGATCCAATCCATGTTCCTTATCTCATGATTATGAATCAAAATCACACTAGTCTTAATTCGTTATTGTTTCCACAATAATGATTGACCAAAGATGCTTAGAATAATTCTTTAGTTATTCATGGATCTTGATAAACATGAAACGATATAATAACATGACACGGCCCAATCATTAAAAGAGGCACAATCATTAAAAGAACCGACAACTGAAGTGCCTAGATAGGGAGGAAAAAGCAAAGATCAACTTTAATTGTTAACAGATTGCTACTTGCTTCTGTTTCTCCATTAAGCAACTTTGATGGTTTAGGCTTTCTCTTATATGTTTATAATATGTAGTAGCATTTGGAGCTTGACTTGTTGGATATAATTGATCCTTTTCTTTTGTAAGCAGGCAAATGAAGTAGTGAAAGCGAATAATCTATCTGATATTGTCATTGTATTGCATGGACGAGTTGAGGTAGGCTTCTTTGAATCAATGGCCGATTTTTGAAAATCTGATCACCAGTATAAGTTTTCAATTTTTGATTATGATGGTTTAAATTATCAACTTGGTGTTTAGCATCTAAATAATCAAACCTTTTATTCACATTCCAAAGTTTTGATTTTATCAGGAAAAAAAATAAAGGAAGTGCTTGTTTTGTCTGTGTAAATCAAAGTTAAAGACTGAGTTGGTATGTGCTTATCTTAAGGATAGTAATTTTGGTCAAAAAGCTGTCAGACTTCACATGTGAAAGGAGTAGTGGAGGTTTTTGTTATGAAGAAACAGAACCATGTAGCTGTAGTTATTTTTTTTGTTATTGTTTTTTGATGTTTTTCTAGGAATCTATTTTTATTACTTTCAAATATGATTTTAAAGGTAAATTGGATTTCAAAACACTCGCATAATTGAAATTCAAGGGAAAATTAAACGGTAATGCAGCAAAAGTCAAATACAAGATTCTAAGATATTATGACTACAAATAGATACCTAATAAATGTTAACATGATCATAAGTCAGATTATCCAGATGGGCCTGACATTGGGTCTTAAAATCACTTACACTCCTGCTTAAGCTAGATAATATATGTTGATAATTCCCAGCTTCATTTGATTTGCAATTTGAGTATTGGAATGCACGTGAGGTAGATCAGCCACATTGAATCGACTTTCTCCTTTATGAAATGGTGAAAAATCTCTACTTGCTTACTTTGGTCACCATGAATATGGTTCTTTGCAATTCCACTTGTGATCATATTGCAAGTCCATTTTCAGATCCTTTAGTAATATTTAGATCCACAATTCTTCACATATTCCTAGAGCTAATGCTCAATACCCAATTTTTGTACTGCTCCTGGCCGCTATTGGCTGCTTCTTGATTCTTCACGTCACTAGGTTACCCCAATTATAACTGCAATAACCTATTGTAGCCATCTTATCAGTAACTAACCCAGCATAATTTGCATTTGATTAGACTACAACACTTTAGGTTTTTCTTTGGGTAAAAAAGGACCATCATGCTAGGTGTCTTCTTCAGATATCTCAAAATTCTGCATGCATCTCTCATGTGCTCTTCCTGTTGCTTATTCATGGATTGGTTTCCTTCACTTGAGAAAATTGAAGTATGGCCTAGTGTGAGATAGATAAGCTTTATCATGGTTGGTGATCTAGAATCTTGCATGAATTTTCTTCTTCTGACAAGAAAAGGGAAAAAAGAACATTCGATAAATGAGATTGAAATTAGAGTTGGATAATAAAACAGCATAGAATGTATGAAAAAAGTGTAAAGTTATGCTGGAAATGATAAAATTCTTATGGAATTTGGGAGTGATGATTTCCGTTTTCTGTGAAAATATTTGTAACTTTGGCGTGTAATATTTAATTGATGTTGCTTGATGGTTTCTACTTTGGCCTGTGATATCATCTTAATTTGCTTCTATCTTATATCTGCCAATTGGAACCTTTTTCTTAATTTATTTAACATTAGATATCCTTTCTGCAGGATGTTGAAATAGATGAAGAGGTTGATGTCATCATCTCCGAATGGATGGGATATATGCTTCTGTATGAGGTGCTTATTATGATCCATGGAATTAGCAGTAAAAAGTGAGATTATTTGTAGGGTTGAAACCAATACTATATCAATTTCATAATAAAGAAAGACATGCATTCAAAAGAGAAGAAAATATGATTAGTTGACAATAAGACATCCTCATATTTTTATGCACATCACATCCTCAAATTTCTAAAATATGATTAGTTGACAATAAGACATCCTCATATTTTTATGCACAGCACATCCTCAAATTTCTACGATGTGATTGCCTGAGTATTTGTTTGGAATGGTGGTAGGATTCTTTAAAAGTAGCTTTTCAGTCTTGATTTACAGAACATGAATTATGTGAGAAGAGTTTTTTTTTTTTTTTTTGAATTTTGTGAATAAGTGCTTTTGGAGTGTCGAATCATGATCTAAGTTTATTGTTCATAGGGTGTAGGGGGAACTTTCTGTTGGTGATTGAAGAATAATCACGGCCTAAAAAACCCTAACCCTAATTAGTGCAAGTTTAAAATTCAAAATCCAAATGTAATAGTATTTAGGGATATTATTCTGTTTTATCATTTGAAATTGTGTTACTTGATTCTCCTAGAATCTCGACCTATCACTCGGATTTTGGCCTCCCACCTTCATCAAGATGAGGTCACTATAACCTATTTATTTTGCTAGTTCCTTTGGAATAACACTTAATTTAGAACCATAAGAGTTCTTCATGGTGTCAGAGCAATATGATTAGATTTTGCATGGGCCTACTGAATTAACCCTAATACCCTGCCAACTAACCTGACTGGTTTGGCGGCAACTGTGACCAGCAACCCTAGCTCAATCGAGACCTAGCAATGGGGAGGATTATCTCCAATGGTTGTTTAATGTGTGGCTTTTTATCATGGGCAAAGGCAAGCATGGATATCTTTCTAGAGTTGTGGAGAAACCGTAGTCACCGATGAACAATATGCAGATTGGGAAGTTGAAAATTCAATGGCATAGGTATGGCTTATCAACTCCATGACTACAGACATCAGCGCCCACTTTTCTTACTTTTCTTTCTTTCCAACAGCATGAGAGGTGTGGGATGCTACTAAAGATACGTTCGCTGCTGTAAAAAACAAAGCTGCCATCATAAAGATTGAAGGATTTCTGCATGATTTCCAAAAAGGCAACCTTTCAATGGCTTAATATTACATTGAATTATCTGTTAGATGGCAGCAACTTGATGCTTATGAGGCACATGCTTGGAAGTGCACTAGAGATGCAGCACTTTATACCAAAATCAAAGAAGAAAAAAGGATTTTCAAATTTCTTCTTGGATTGGATGCCTCCTTTGAAGACATCCGTGGGACAATAATGGGGCCTGGAGGCTCTCCACTCTGTGATGTCTTTTTCACTGTCTGAAGAAAAGAGAGCCGAAAGAAGTTAGTTAATGGTGACAGCCCAAATGAGGCATTCCAGTTGAGTGCTTTAGTATCCAAAGGAGCAACGCGAGGTGACAAGAAGTAGAACAGATGGCATGATCATTGTTGAAAAAAAGGTCCGATGAGAGAAGTTTGTTGGAAACTAAATGGGAAGCTTCCAAAGAGAGGAAGGCAAGAAGGCTGAGGATACTTAGGCGCCATTAAAGGGAAGTGTGAATCAGAATTCAACAAAGAGCCAGACCTACTTAGAAGGGTTCTTGCAAAATACCCTTCCCAGGAAGATACAGTTGCAACTGGGTTTATTGCCTACATAGGTAAAACAATACTACCTCTAAAAGGTTATGTGCATCATAGGAGATTGTGGATAGCACCAGAAGTTGGAAATTCAGAATTATTGACAGATATAAGGCCATGTCCCTTCAATATATTTGTGAAAGTAGCAGAGGGGAAAGCCTTGAAGGCTAAGAGGCTAGAGATTGTTCATATGACTTCTGAAATTATTTTGTATAATGTTTTCTACACCCGGAGTTTAAAATGTAGTTTGCTACATGTAAAAACTATGACCCAACGCTAGGAATGGGGTGTTTATTTCACCTTTGTTGAACGTGTTTTTTAGGATTTGCGGAGAAGGAAGACGATTGGCATTGCTGAAATTCTAGGAGATCTCTACTGTTTGGAAGTAAATCCCACTCTCAATCAAATATCGTGAAGTTTTCTTCAGTTTTTTCTACTGGTTGTGCAAATAAAGAGGCATTGTTATGGCACTATAAGGTAAGCTATCCAATTTTCGATGTGTCAGGTGTTTCCACATCTTATGAATAAAAATGATTGCTTTTTCATTTGTGATATTTGTCAATGTGGCAAACAAACCAAAGCAACTTACAAACCATACTCACATCAATTTTTAGAACCTTTTCACCTAACTTAGTGACATTTGGGGACTTTCTAGAATACCTTCTCTATCTCATGTTAAATGGTTTGTTAACTTTATTGATGACCATTCTCATCTCACGTGGGTGCCCTTCATGAAAGAAAAATTTGATTTTCCTTCCACATTCATCAACTTTCACAAAATGATCAAACACAAATGTTGACACTTTGCAGTGACAATGGCCAAGAATACAACAACAACAACAAGCCTTATCCCACTAGGTGGGGTTGGCTACATGAATCACACGACGCCATCGTGTTCTGTCAACAACCCAGTCCTTAGATATATTGTTGACTAGGAGGTCTCGTTCAATGACCTTATTAAGCGTTCTTCTTGGTCTTCCTCTGTTCCTTTTTATGGAACTCCATCTTGTCTGATCCACCCTCCTTATCGGGGCTTCTAATGGCCTTCTTTGTATATGTCCAAACCATCTTAAGCGATTTTCAACCATTTTCTCTTGGATAGGTGCCACACCGACTCTTGCTCTGATATTTTCATTTCGAATCTTATCTTTTCTTGTATGACCACACATCCATCTCAACATCCTCATTTCTGTTACCCCAACTTTGTAATCTTGTTTTCCCTTTATTGCCCAACATTCACTACCATACAACATAGCCGGTCTTATAGCAGTCCGATAAAATTTTCTTTTAAGTTTCTCAGGTACCTTCTTATCGCAAATAACTCCGGTAGCTTTCCTCCACTTTAACCAGCCTGTTTGTATTCTATGAGAAATGTCTCTATCAATTTCCTCATCCTCCTATATAATGCATCTTAGGTATTTAAACTTTGATATTTGAGGAATGATTTGCTCCCCCATCTTCACCTCCAAATGCCCATTACCTTGCCTCCTCCCAAAATTACAATGCATATATTCTGTTTTGTTCCTGCTCAAGCAGAAACCTTTCGACTCCAAAGTCCTTCTCCATAACTCTAATCTAGTGTTAATTTCTTCTTTTGATTCCGCCATGAGAACTATATCATCTGCGAAAAGCATGGACTTGGGATTTTTTCTTGAATAGGTTCGGTTAGAACATCCAGAACAATGTTGAACAAGTACGGACTCAAAGAGGATCCCTGATGTAGGCCAATTTGAATAGGGAAGTCCTTTGTCTCACCTCCAGGCATCCTTACACTGGTAGTTACCCCCTCATACATATCTTGTATGGTTTTGATATAAGCAACTCGTACACCTTTTTTTTCCAAAGCCTTTCACATTACTTCTCTTGGCACACGATCGTAAGCCTTTTCCAGGTCAATAAAGACCATATGTAAATCCCTTCTTTTACTTCTATATCTTTCCATTAACCTTCTTATAAATAGATTGCTTCCGAAGTGGATCTCTCTAGCATAAATCCAAATTGGTTTTCTAAAATAGAAGTCTCTAGCCTCAACCTATATTCCATCACTTTTTTCCCAACTTCATTGTATGACTCATAAGTTTTATCCCTCTGTAGCTTGCACAGTTTTGAATGTCTCTTTTATTCTTGTAAATAGGAACTAAAATGCTTCTCCTCCATTCATCCGGCATATTCTTAGAACGTAAAATTTCATTAAAAAACTTGGTTAACCACGCCTCACCCTCATCTCTCAGACATTTCCAAACTTCAATAGGGATACCATCAGGCCTAACGGTTTTTCCATTGTCCATTTTCTTGAGAGCTGCCTTAACCTCTCCGATACGGATCTTGCGGTAGAAAGCCAAATTCTGATCATCTTCGTTAATTAGCAAGTCTTGTAAGTCCTGAGTCGCATAATTGCTTCCCTCATTCAACAACTTGTAAAAATAAGCCTCCCATTTGTCCTTAATATCACCATCAGTAACTAACACTTTACCATTTTCATCCTTTATACACTTTACTTGGTCCAGATCTCTCTTTTTCCTCTCCCTTTGCTTTGCAATCTTGTAAATATTTCTTTCTCCTGTCTTTTTTCCTAACTCCTAATAAAACCCTTCATAAGCTTTAGTACGTGCTTCGCTTACTGCTTTTTTCGTCTCTTTTTTAGCCAACTGATACTTTTCCCGGTTTTCTACACTGTTGCACAAGTGTATGGCCTTAAAACAATCTCTTTTCTGTTTGACTTTCTTTTGCACACTCTTATCCCATCACCAAGTCTCCTTATCTCTCTGACCAGGACCTTTGAATTCTCCCAAAATTTCTTTACCTACCAAACGAACCCTTATAGCTATCTCTTCCCACATCATGTTTGCATTTCCCTGTGACTCCCAAATCCCTTCCTCCAAAAGGGTCCTTTTGAATAACTCACGTTTCTCACCCTTTAACTGTCACCACCTAATCTTGGGTTTTACCACTTGATGGTGTTTTTGCTTGGTACTCTTAAAACGTACATCAAGAATAAATACTCTATGTTGGGCCGTCACCCCATCTCCTGGAATCACTTTGCAATTAGTACACAATCTTCTGTCTGGATTCTTAACAAAAAAGAAATCAATCTGTGATTTTGAGACCACTTTTGTACGTGATTAAATGCTCATCTCGCTTTTTAAAACAAGTGTTGACAATCTTAAGATTATATGCAAGAGAAAAGTCGAGAATAGATTGTCCTCCACTATTAAGCTCCCCAAAACCAAAACCACCATGGGTCCCATTGAATTGTCTGCTTCCTTATTGACATGTCCATTAAGGTCCCCACCGATAAAAACTTTTTCT